TATGCTTGAGTATCCAACGTGAACCAAAAGAAGCCATAGAAATGATGACAAATACAACAAAGTTATCCGCAGCCAACGAGTCGATTCGGTCGAATAGTGCTGGCAACTCATACATCAGATAGTAATGCAAGTCACGATTGATCCACACAATCATCGTATGCAGCAGGCCAATCGTGAACATGCCGAAAGAGCGTAGAATGATCTGCTGCTCGAGAAGACAGAAATGAACCATTCGATGTCTTGAAATCGAGCACGATTGTGCGTATCGCTTTTTTTATCGTATCTTGATATCGGTATCAAGCGGTGCAATTTGATTTAGCTGAAACGATTAGCTCATGAAGGTTCCGTGATCGCTTGCACGATTTGCTGCCGCTCAGCTTGGAGTAAAATTAAGTCAATGGTCAGCCTTAAGTCCACGTCTTTGAAGAACGTTGTTTATGTGCTGTCAAAAGAATGGCTGGACGATAAATAGAAGCGGTATCGCTACAAAAAGCTCTGCTTGTTACTTTTTCAAAGTGGTGTCACCTGCGCGTTCTCGCTTGGTGACTACCCTCAGGTGAACAGTAACCACCACTTGGCCTTACTTCATCAGTAGTGCTATCCCATGCGAAGATAATGCGTCCGCAACCGTTTTTTTCACTTGTTGAATCAAATTCGTCGTGTAGAAACCCAGCGGTAAAATCTAGACAGAAATCGGAGACCTTAGGCTCATGGAGTAGAAGGAAGCTCGCCTTCCAGAACTAGTTGCCATATATTGATTAACCGAAGAGTGTGGAGGATCTATACAAACAAATCGTAGTATGCCTTCATGACATTTGGATTGTCCTCTTCTGGCATAATGATGAGAAGATGGTCTTTTATCTGGACACGAGAAAAATTGAGAAAAATCCAGTGTCCGAAAAGCCGATCCCAATCACCTTTGGTTGATTTTGGATCTGTCGCAATGGTCCTAGCGCTTTCGATTTCTTCGATGTCGATAATTATTTTTGAAATTTGTGGCGCGTTGTTTTTGAAAAGTGGGGAATTCGGCGTTTTTTTCAAAATTTGTTTAATTTCAACGTAATCTTTCAAAGCCTGCTGCAAATGTTCCGGACTCAACTGAGAATATCGAAGTATGAAATGCACACGGTCCCGAGTGTAGAAGTGGTTGATCCACGTCGTCAGAAGATACCCCCAGTCATCTTTGATAATAGAAGGGCCCACAGAACCAGGGGGTGGTTTTTGCATGATTTGTTCTCTACTTATAACAACACTAGCAGCACGGATGTCTAGTATGGCACGAGATTCGGTGTGAAGATCTGTATGATCCATATATCCGAAAATTACGCGCAGAGCGTCAAATATCGGCGTAGTCGTCCTGATCGAGTCGTAACTATCCAATATTTTGTTCACGGTCCATTCATTGTAATCAGCTGCGCGAAATATCAATCGCACCTCGTCGCGTGAAAAGCCATGCAAATTTAATCCACGCAACCAAAACTCCAATTTATTCCAATCACATTCACTTTCTGGATAATAAATTTTGATAAAAAAAGCAAAGTAGGTGGCTATGTCAGTATAAGTGTCCGGCTGCGGGCAGAATGCACTTAAATCTGTCTCAAACAGAAGGTTTAGTCTCTTACGAGATTGGGTGTGCAGAGATCACTCACATACATAGCTTGAAAATTTCGTTCTTAAACGATTGAGAGGCATGCTACTATATAAAGAAGATTCACTAGCCAGTTTCGTGTGCGTATAATTTTCCCAAAGATTCTTAGGCACAGAAACCATTCTATTCGTTCTTTCGTCGGGTTCGGGGATACAGCTGGTCAGTTGACTGGCACCGATGTTTAATCCAAACTTTGCAGTTTATAATACAGAGAGCCGCCGCGGTTAAGATATATACGGGCACGACAGTGCAAATGATAGCGAATGGATACACCGCTCCGCGCGATGTCCGGTATCAGGACCTGTACTACTTGCATTTTGAGAAATTGTGGCCAAGCCAGCTCAATTTTTATGATAGCTTAAAAAAAATCAGACTATTTACTTTCAACCCTAAAAAAAAAATTTTGGAGTGACTTAACAATTACCAGATAATTTCTAAATCTATAATGCAAAAAATTTGTACGAATTTGTCTGCTGCTCAAAATATGCTTTTTAATTTCAAATCTATTAATAAAATACGTTCGAAAGATTAGTAATAAGCCACCAATCAAAAAGACAGAAAAAAAACTCCACATTTCTCCAAAATAGTAGAGCTCAAGCGTGGAGGAAGACGGCAAGCATAATATCAAAATACGCTTAGCTACCCACGTAAAAACATCGGATGAAGAAAATGATTGACTTCACTCACACATAGCACGTGGATGAAGCTTGTTCCTCGCAGTCTTGCTTTTTAAGACGTATTCATGCATACCTTGGTAATCAAAGACAGCTTTAAAGTATAGCTGGCGTTAATACAGTTTGCAAGAACAAGATTACTGCTGCATGATGCACGACATCATGCGTCAAATTAAAGCGCATGATGGGTCAAGTATGACAAGAACATGAACAATTAGAAATTTAATGTCACAGAGAAGACTTGGAATGTTTTTTTCTCTGCCTTTGTTACGTATAGTCGCTCATGACACAATTACAATAAAAGGCGGGGTATTCCACTTTCATTCTATCACAAGCACATACGTACAACATCGCACTTTCAGTTGAAGGTTGTGAAATAGTTGATCATTTCAATGATTAACAGCCTGTAATATCTCTAAGAGTTAGCTTCGAAACTTATTATATGTTATACTTTACAAGTATGCCTAGTTTTAAGCGATGGATAAAAAAATTCAGCGCAATATAAACGCAGTGGACGGCAAGGCCCAGCATTAGAAAATAACATACGGTGCTAAGCTAGAGTTTACATTTACATATAAGGCACATGCAGCTGCTGATCATGAGAGACAAGACCAGCAACATAGTAGAGCAAGCTGGAAAAGAGAGACACGGATTAAGATTTAGCCTGCACTTACCGCTTACAACATTGTCAGCACTTTACTACCAAATGAGATGTCTTATCTCTCTGTGTTCCGTCCGGGTATATGGGTAAAGCTGGCCCATGCACTGAGTCGAAATGGGCAAATTTGAGCTCAAACCCACTCTCAACACCTATTCTAATTCATATACTGTTGGGGTAAGCCATTATTGCAAGTAAATATCGCGAAGCGTAACGCAACTACGGCAATTTCTTCAGCCCATTGACTAAAGTTTTATTGCCGCAACAAAAGGTCAGTATGGCGGATGGACGGTGCGCATCTGACGCCGTTTCGAATGGGTTTCAAAGGGTAAAAATTGCATATTTATATGTGCTACAGTAAAACCTGTCTAAATTAAACATGTTGGGACTAGTGTTGTGACCCGGGTCAACTTTTGGCCAACCCGACCTGACTTGGGTCAACAGGTG